GGGGGGGGGTAGCGGAAGTGAAAACCCTGAGTATCAGGTTACCTCGCTGTGTACGAAGGAACGCTGCGCACTGCGCTGTTATTGATTTATATTGGGCGACTTATCCTGCACGATCCTCGATCAGATCGCGAATAACTCTAGATCTACAATCGTCCACAAAATATTTGAGACAAACCCCCTCCCCCCTCTCTCCTCCGCAGAGGCTTTAGTTTTCTTAGGATGAGTACAGGGATGAGTATTACGATGAGATACATTTCACTACACTTTACATGGCGGATCTTGAAACACGAGCGTAGCCGCTGGGCGAAGGAGCGCAGGCGGCAAAGGAAAGGCGAAGGAAGGCGCGAAGCCTCTGCACGATTTGCATCGCAAAGTGGGACAAAGTGGGACAAAGTTAGCCTCCTCCGCAGGCCTCTCTATGGGTTGTAGCCTGCGAATGGGTTTGAAAAAAAACAAACTTTTTCCCACCACCCGATTCCTCAGTGAGATGCCTGCGGAGGAGGCTAGGACAAAGTGTAAACATCGAAACAAAAGGTGATTTTTAAGCTAAACAAGAAACGTCTTTTTGAAAATTAAATCATTATTTAATGCATGATTGATTGACCTCATTGACTAGTGCTTGCATGTTTGTGGATGGTCAAAAGTAATATTTTTAACATTTAATACACAAAGCAAACAATCGTATATTTTACTCACCGCTTGGCCAAACATTCTGTATTTCGTATCGAGAAAAACTTGAATATTTCTTGAACTCTTCGGAATTCGCCACCAGTCAAAGAAGTAAAATACTCCTTGTATTCAAGCGCTTTCGTGTAGAAAATTTCTTTTGAATACGGCCAGTAGAAATATTTATTTTTAATTTTTCAAAATATCGGGTTTTTACACGCACAGTCGCACGCGCCTGTCACGCTGATGTTCGGGAATTAGTTCACAATCAGACCAGGAATGGAAATACCAAAATAAAAGATGAAGTTTTCAAGATACAAGCTCAAAAATAACACTTTAAGTAGTGTTTTGAATTCGCTTTCGAACAAGAGTAATACAAAGAGGATGCGTCCCAAGGAGGCGAAGTTATGTTCGCCGAAAGGTATGCCTAGTTTATATTTTTATCAAGTATATTATTGCGTGATTTGATATTAATATACAAAATCCCGCTTGACTTTCACAGGTCATAATTCATAAATCGCTATTAGTGTTGACATTTCACTAAAACTATCGATAGAAACTAGGAGATATTTTTGTACTGAATCGAACGGTGGTATTTTCATCTACATAGCGTATATTGAACCAAAGATACGAACCTCCAAATAAATCAGGTCGAAACCGACTGAAGGTCGCGTTTGTTTATAAATATTGCTGAAGTTGAAATAGTTGAATTGTATTTTCAGTCTTGATAATAAATTTAATAATGGTTCTGTATGCTATACATACTAATTTTTTTTCTTTTATGCGGTTTTGGACACATTTCTAAAAATACAAATGTCAAATATAAATTTAAATAAAAGTTTTCTCAGTCATTTTGAATTTGACTTGAATTTTGCGTTTGATAATTATACCACAGAATACTACACAGAAGTCCATCTCCTTTGTTTTTTGCGTAAGCTCCATTCGTCATGATTCGTCACTCAGCAAGTACCGTAAAAAGAAGCAGTCACCCCCCTGGACGTGCGCCATTTTTAGTATTTCCAGGGGGGTGACTGCTTCTGTTTACGGTACTTGCTGAGTGACGAATCATGACGAATAGCGCTTACGCAAAAAACAATGGAGATGGACTTCTGTGTAGTATTCTGTGATTATACGCCCCCCCCGGTTTACCGCCATATTGGGTGTGGAATCGTGCAGGGGCTTCGCGCCTTCATAGCCAATTATAAAGCCTCTGCGGAGGAGAGAGCCCTCCCCCGATTTCAATGTTGTTAGGCACTACAATATAGTTTAATTCCAGCATCATATGTTAAATTTCAACTGCCAGTGACACAGTTGCGGTGCTACTGTCACCTTATGTTCGTTTTGGATAAATACAGTAGGTTTCAACATTGAAATAAGGGGGGAGGGGATTGATTTAAAAAGTCTCAATATATTTTGTGGACGATTGTCTTAAAAATTGATAAGACTTAGTTAAAAGCATCTCGAAATTTTTTTGAAATCACTTTGTGTGCATGTGTAGTAGTCACTGTAGATGATACTAATCGGGTTATTGTTCACATGTAGAATAGTACAGTACTGCCAAGTTGACCAGGGGGGGGGAGATATAAAAGAAATGGGGGAGAGATTAAAAAAATATCACTATATGTTTGGTAGACGATTATATTAGAAATTAAGGAAACTTAGATGGCAGCAGCTCGAAGTTATTTGAAATCATGTTATGTGCGGCACAATAACTGTGGGCTGGGGGAGGAAGGAGGAGGAGAATTTAATTCCCAGAGGTGTCGGGGCAAGGATTAAATATTTAAGGAATTTTTGTGAAGTAATAGAAGCGTCTTACTATTCACTATAATTTGGATAGTATTGTTAGGCCCATACAAAGATCTCTACGTTGTATAATGGTACCATATCAAGTCTTCCTCTGAGCCGGATGGGGTAGGGGTGGGGGGGGGGTGGTAGACCTGTCGAGTACATCCTTGGATCTGTCCGTTAAATTAGAGAATTAACCGTGCATAGTTCTTAGAGAAAGTCCTATAACTTCACGTGGATTAATAATACTTTAGTTACTCAAGTTAATTAATGGATAATTGAATGTTGATGAAACTATAAGCATTTTTTAATTAATTTTTGATTACTTGGTGGGGTCAAAGTTTTAATTTATTCAAGTTACAATAAACTAATGTTTAATATGGCTTTTGAAATATAAATTACTAAAGCAACGTGTTACCACGCATTGCCACATGCGTTACCATGTACTAATAGTTTTATAATATGGCTTTTCTATTACGAACAGAACACATTACCACGCGTTACCATACGCGTTACCATGTACTAATTGTCTATTTGGCTTTTCTATTACTAAAACAATGCATTTCCATGCGTTATCTCAGATAACCATACGTGTTAACGCCTAGTAATTCTATTCATTATGGTATTTTGTTGATAAAGCAACGCGTTACCACGCGTTACCGTCAAGTTTTTAATAAAATGTACATAGTAGTTTTTTTAAAATAAAAGATGGTAACGCGTGGTAACGCGTGCGCAACTCATGGTAACGCGTTGTTAGTCATTGCTTGCATATCGATCTTGTAGTTTTGAACCATTAGAAATGAACTTTTACTACGGAAGTTTTATTGTAGCAATAATAACTGTTTGATATTAGTGGTAACGCGTATAGTAACGCGTTGTTAAAATTTGAATTTGGAGCGAAAACAGGTAGCCCATGCATATACATTAATTAAACTAATCCGAATGGCTAATTTCCAGTTTGAGAACGAGGTTGTTTACATGTTGGCGTACGTTGTTCTTGAATTTACATAGTACTTTAAAATAGAAAAATCTTGATTTGTGATGGTTGCATGATATTCATTCTTCATTCTCGATATATCTTTTTCGAATCGAAGGCAAGCTTTCGAAGGAACGTTAGATGCCGGTAAGGTATGGATTTTAACTTAACTTGGACAAACTATCGCATAATATAATACTTGTATATCGGCATGTATACTATGGAGTCCAAATATGTTATGCAAATTTTGTTCGTAACATTAACATAAGCGCTGCCAAAGAAAATATTATGCAGTAAATAGCCAAAACCTGTGCTCGATTTTCCCCAATTTTCAGACAATCGTCCACAAAATATTTGAGACAAACCCCCTCCCCCGATTTCAATGTTGTTAGGCACTACAATATAGTTTAATTCCAGCATCATATGTTAAATTTCAACTGCCAGTGACACAGTTGCGGTGCTACTGTCACCTTATGTTCGTTTTGGATAAATACAGTAGGTTTCAACATTGAAATAAGGGGGGAGGGGATTGATTTAAAAAGTCTCAATATATTTTGTGGACGATTGTAGGCAAGCTGCATATGTGACGTCATATCAAAATTTCTATTTTTATTTACGACAGACGGTGACAAGATGGTATTGTTTATATGATCATCAATCCAAAATCGCAGTAGCCTTGCTTTGGACTGCGCAACGTGGTATTACTGTGGGATTACAACGACAACCTAAATCGTTCATGCATATAACGCACGTAGTTCTCCCCTAGACCAGTACGTTTTAATTTAGCGCTTCTCACATAAGAAGACTGGGGCCATCGTGGATATTTCGCCGTGACGTCATCAATAGATGTTGTCACATCAGTGGCCGGTCGCTGTAAAACACCTGAAAACTTGCCGAGTAAACGCCTATAGCTCTATACGCTGATCTCATGTAGTACCATGCAGACAAAAACATTACCACTTACCATGCAGTGTAGAACTTTAAACATGTAGATATAACATGGTAGTTGACTTAGAAAGGACTACAATATATGGGCGGTCCATGTCTAGTTTATATTCAATAGTTGGAAAGTGCACGGATGGTTTGGAACGCATTGATCGTGTGTTGTAATTTTGTATTGTAGCTTTGTTAAAGTTTGTAACCCTGTCTCTATTGTTTTTCAATGTCAATGTAATGTGTAAGTAGGACTTAAAGACCATGTAAAGTCCGTAATGTAAACAAACGCTTCAGTCAGTTCACTCAGTCGACATTTTGAACTCAGTGCTACGTACAGTTGTAAAATATGATTAGATATATATTATACCGAATTTTTAACACTCTTCTGGTTCGCTATGCTTGAAAATGAATACAGACTAGAGATTCAATTCAGGAAAGTTCAAAAGATACAAAATATTAATAATATTCCAACGGTCGGGTCCCGAACATTGGAATGTAAGCCTGCGCAGAACGTATGCGCAGAACGGACTTTACATGGTCTTTTAATTTGGGACTCCTCAGTCCCGTGTTGTCTGTACCTTCAATCGTTTGTTGATTGTAAAGTTTATAAATCAATAAGTAAATAAACTGAAGTACGGTTACACTTGCAATTTTTTCAAGGCAAGAAGATGGAAATGCAAGTATCGAAACAGAAGTGTTTTTTGGTTTTTTTTCAACACATTTGTTTCATCGTCATTAGCAACCTCGTTCCCGGGCAGACCGGGCTGTTTCCTTTACCCTCCTACCTCGAAAGAGCCTGGAAACGATAAAAAGCTAGATACTGCCGAGTATAGTACATCTCGTAAACATTCGCTGCAAACTGTCTGGAACATTGCTGCTGTGGATATCAAGTTTCAAGCCTTAATTTAAATATATAAACTGCATTTTCATTGCAGAAAAGCGGCGTGAAATCTGAAGGAATAGAGCCAAGTGACAACAGAGAAAAGCGACGACGCACGAAGTGAACTGTATATACATCACAATCAGTTTTACTTTTTTATGCAATATCTGCCTGTTGTCGCAAGTCAGTTGTTTTATCAACTTCTTGACATTATCTCCTCCAATATGATTTTGTAGATTGTAAAGTCTGCACGTTAAACCACGTAAATATAGGCGCGCATACCATATATAGTCTTATACCTTCGAGAAAATCAAAAACGAAATAGTCGTAAAAATAATCACAGCTGCGAAAGCACAAGTACCGAGTTTAATTAGCCTTTCTCAGAAGATCAAAATCAGCCATTTTTTGGGTACTGTCTGCCCTCGTGAAAGATTCTGCAGTTCAAACAACGTGAAAAGCGACTTTCAAAAGTTATAACTGTAAATTTACCATTATACAAACAACTATAATACTAAAAAGTCGCATTTCGTGGTGCGGAGACTCTCAAATGGGGACTAGCAGTAACCCCAAAATCGCGGAAAAATCGACCGTGAGAAAGGCTAATTGAATCCAATGCTCATTTATTTTAGTCCGGAATGTCAGTGTTTTTTTCGGCTGTTCATTCGCGAGCACCGTATACGGCATATTTGTCCGATTTAGAACAAGCCAGGCAGTACCCGTTTAGGGCTAGCCTCATGCGTAGCAGGCGGTATTAGGGCTGAATTGTATGAAGATTTGAATTTTGCTGTTTATGGCCATGTATTTGCATAATATATCGGTGAAAACTACATGTTGCACTCAATAGCAAAGTGTTTGGTACGTAAGTGGATTTTTTATATCTTGACTATACCGGGTGGCCCAAAAAAAAGTACTCCTGTTTGATTCGTAATAACTTCTAAACAAGTAAAGTTTTTAAAGAGAAATAACTTGCATTAAATAGAGGAAGGACTAACTTAGATTTTGATATATTACAGTTGTATTTAACTTAAAAATTCACGGATATATTAATGTTAAAAATGGGAGCATATTTTGGAATGTGTCTAAAATTAGCGAAAATCGGCATATCAAATATTAACTCCAGCGTTTGTTTGTTTAATGACATATTAGGCTAACTTGTATTTCAGCGAATTATCGTTAAGGTTTGTAAGGGATATGGCGTAGATTTAGACATCTTACATGTAAGTCTTAGCTCATTGTTTCCTGAAATATGAACGTTCGAAATTATGCAAGTATTTTA